GGCATAAATTAGAACTAACATGTCATAAGTTAAAACTAATATGACACAAACTGGCTATTTACTATCTGATGCCGTTCGAATCTGGAAAATCTCAAAAAACCAAACTTGTAGGTCTCTTCAACGGCTTTCCAACAAGTATTAAATCACCTTATTCCGAGTTCGGACGGAGAAATTACAGTGAAAACAACAATATAAATTAACATGACAAAAACTGTATATAAGATCTGAAAAAGTCTAAAAGACCAAAGTTGTATACCTCTTCAACAGCTTTCTAACAAATCTTAAATCACCTCATTCTGACTTCAGACGGAGAAATTATAGTAAAAACAACAATGTAAACTAACATGGTATAGATTAGAACTAACATAACAGAAGTTAGAACTAACATGACATAAGTTAGAACTAACATAGCATAAGTTAGAACTAACATAGCAGAAACTGGTCATTTACTATCTGATGCCGTTTGAATATAGAAAACTCAAAAGACCAAATTTGTAGGTCTCTTCAACGGCTTTCCAACAAGTCTTAAGTCATCTCATTCCGAGTTCGGACGGAGAAATTACAGCAAAAATAACAATATAAACTAACATGACACAAATTGTATGTAAGATCAGAAAAAATCTAAAAGACCAAAGTTGTAGGCCTCTTCAACAGCTTTCCAACAAATTTTAGATCACCTCATTCCGACTTCGGATGGAGAAATTACAGCGGAAACAACAATGTAAACTAACATGGTGTAGATTAGAACTAACAAAACAGAAGTTAAAACTAACATGGCATAAGTTAGAACTAGCATGGCATAAACTGGTCATTTACTATCTGATGTCGATCGAATCTGGGAAAGCTCAAAAGACCAAAGTTGTAGGTCTCTTCAACGGATTTCTAACAAGTCTTAAATCACCTCATTCCGAGTTCGAACAGAGAAATTACAAAAGTCTGTGTCATGTTAGTTTTAACTTATGTCATATTAGTTCTAACTTATGTCATGTTAGTTTTAACTTCTGTTGTGTTAGTTCTAATGTACACCATGTTAGTTTATATTATTATTTCCGTTGTAATTTCTCCGTTCATAGTCGGAATGAGGTGATTTAAAATTTGTTGGAAAGCTGTTGAAGAGACCTACAACTTTGGTCTTTTAGACATTTCCAGATCTTACATACAGTTTGTGTCATGTTAGTTTATATTGTTATTTTAGCTGTAATTTCTCCGTCCGAACTCGGAATGAGGTGATTTAAGACTTGTTGGAAAGCCGTTGAAGAGACCTACAACTTTGATCTTTTGAGCTTTTCCAAATTCAAATGGTATCAGATAGTAAATAACCAATTTGTGTCATATTAGTTCTAACTTATGCCATGTTAATTCTCACTTCTGTTATGTAAGTTCTAATCTACACTATGTTAGTTTACATTATTGTTTCCGCTATAATTTCTCTGTTCGAAGTCGGAAGGAGGTGATTTAAGATTTGTTGGAAAGCTGTTGAAGAGACCTACAACTTTGGTCTTTTAGACTTTTCCAGATCTTACATATAGTTTGTGTCATGTTTATATTATTGTTTTCGCTATAATTTCTCCATCCGAAGTCAGAATGAGATGATTTAAGATTTGTTGGAAAGCTGTTGAAGAGACCTACAACTTTGATCTTTTAGACTTTTCAGATCTTACATAGAGTTTGTGTCATGTTAGTTTACATTGTTGTTTTCGCTGTAATTTCTCCGTCCGAACTCGGAATGAGGCAATTTAAGACTTGTTGGAAAGCCGTTGAAGAGACCTACAACTTTGGTCTTTCGAGTTTTTCCAGATTCGAACAATATCAGATATTAAATGATCAGTTTGTGCCATGTTAGTTCTAACTTATGTCATGTTAGTTCTAACTTCTGTTATGTTAGTTCTAATATACACCATGTTAGTTTACATTATTGTTTTTGCTGTAATTTCTCCTTCCAAAGTCGGAATGAGGTGATTTAAGATTTATTAGAAAGCTGTTGAAGCGACCTACAACTTTGGTCTTTTAGACTTTTCCAGATCTTACACACAGTTTGTGTCGTGTTAGTTTATATTATTGTTTTCACTGTAATTTCTCCGTCCGAACTCAGAATGAGGTGATTTAAGACTTGCTGGAAAGCCATTGAAGAGACCTACAACTTTGGTCTTTTGAGCTTTTCCAGATTCGAACGACATCAGATAGTAAATGATCAACTTGTGCCATGTTAGTTCTAACTTATGTCATGTTAGTTCTAACTTATGCCATGTTAGTTCTAACTTCTGTTATGTTAGTTCTAATCTACACAATGTTAGTTTATATTATTATTTTCGCTGTAATTTTTCCGTCCGAAGTCGGAATGAGGTGATTTAAAATTTATTGGAAAGTTTTTGAAGAGACCTACAATTTTGGTCTTTTAGACTTTTCCAGATCTTATATTCAGTTTGTGACATGTTAGTTTATATTATTGTTTTCACTGTAATTTCTCTGTCTGAACTCAGAATGAGGTGATTTAAGACTTGTTGGAAAGCCTTTGAAGAGACCTACAACTTTGGTCTTTTGAGGTTTTTCAGATTCGAAGGGTATCAGATAATAAATAACCAGTTTGTGTCATGTTAGTTCTAACTTATGCCATGTTAGTTCTAACTTATGTCATGTTAGTTCTAACTTTTGTTATGTTAGTTCTAATCTATACCATGTTAGTTTACATTGTTGTTTCCACTGTAATTTCTCCATCCGAAGTCGAAATGAGGTGATTTAAGATTTGTTGAAAAGCTGTTGAAGAGATCTACAACTTTGGTCTTTTAGACTTTTCCAGATCTTACATACAGTTTGTGACATATTAGTTTATATTATTGTTTTTACTGTAATTTCTCCGTATGAATTCAGAATGAGGTGATTTAAGACTTGTTGGAAAGCCGTTGAAGAGACCTACAACTTTGGTCTTTTGAGGTTTTTCAGATTCGAAGGGTATCAGATAGTAAATAACCAGTTTGTGTCATGTTAGTTCTAACTTATGCCATGTTAGTTCTAACTTATGTCATGTTAGTTCTAACTTTTGTTATGTTAGTTCTAATCTACATCATGTTAGTTTACATTGTTGTTTCCACTGTAATTTCTCCATCCGAAGTCGAAATGAGGTGATTTAAGATTTGTTGAAAAGCTATTGAAGAGATCTACAACTTTGGTCTTTTAGACTTTTCCAGATCTTACATACAGTTTGTGACATGTTAGTTTATATTGTTATTTTTATTATAATTTCTCCGTCCGAACTCAGAATGAGGTGATTTAAGACTTGTTAGAAAGCCGTTGAAGAGACCTTCAACTTTAGTCTTTTGAGTTTTTTTTCAGATTTGAATGACATCAGATAGTAAATGATCAGTTTGTGCCATATTAGTTCTAACTTATACCATGTTAGTTCTAATGCAATGTTAGTTCTAACCCGTCCCATGTTAGTTCTAGCTAGTTCTAGCTTTAATTCATCTTAGTTCTAGGCTCTTAGGAACGTAGAAAAGCCCATCCCACTTCCGACGAAGCCCACTGAGACACCCCGACGACCCCCGACAACCTCCTCCCACCTCCGACAAGCCCGGACAGCAACGAAAAGCTCCAAACAGCAAAGAACAAACCCGAACGGTGAGAAATTGTACTGCAGAAAGCTGTAGTTTTGTACCGATTTCGCACACACTTTTCGATCACCTCCAATCTCTGTTTCCGTCATTTTCTTCTTTGGTGAGTAGCCCTACATATTGCCTATCACCTTCAATTTGTATCATGCTCTAACTCATTCTTTATCTCTCTCGGTAACGTCCGAAACATCGCTCGACGATAGCAGCAACCAGAAAACAGCAGCACCGTGCCGACTTCGCGCGCGTTTTCCGGCCACCTCCGGTCTTCGTTTTCACCACCGTCTTCGCCGGTGTGTAGCCATTTATATTGTCTTCCACACGGTATCTTCCTTTCACTTGGGCTCATTTTCTACCTCTTGTTATATCACTTCGAATACTGCGAATCGTTCCTTCATCATCTCAACCTCTGAGAGAAGTACAACAATGAATCAATTAAAAGCTGAGCTCCACCGGTCGTGGATGTAGTGGAAACGTGTCTTGCCCATGGTGTGTGCTCCTGTAGTTGTAGTTGATTGGTTTAATTTGTAAATTATGTTCATAATTGTACTGTACACGTTTGTTTTGACAGCGCAATAGTTTCTATGGCGGGGGGGGGGGCAATCTACGGCGACAAGGATGGGCGAAGGAGGCAGCGGTAAACTCGAGAGGAGCCTTGGGGGCCTGAGCGGAGGCGGCGACAGCGAGGAGGGCCAGGGCCAAGGTGAGGAGCTTGAGAAAGCTCGTAGTTTTAGAGAGAGAGAGAGAGAGAGAGAGAGAGAGAGAGAGAAGATGAGTGTGAGTGTTGGGTCTGACGGATTAAGAAGAGAGGATAATGATAATTTGAGGATTTTAGCTTAGCTGATATGTAATAATAGCTAAAAATGAGCTGCAGTACAAAGTGTCACACTTCAAGGGGTTAATTCATATGGAAAAAACTATGAGGGGCCTCGTCACATGAACTTTATATTTTTGGGGCATGGACAGATTTTTACCTTTCATTTATGAAAATTGAAAATTGCGATGTTTGTTTTTTCTTGAAAAATTACAGATCCAATAATAATAATAACTCCGTGCATCGCACGTGCGCCATATGACGGCTCCTGTGGCAGCCCAAGAGCCTACGCATGTTTAATGTGCACGGCCCATTTTTGAGATACCCATCCCTATCTTTATATATCTGGAAAAATCAAAATTTCATTGGCAGCAGTAAAGAAGAGTCAACAGTACACACGCCCACAAGAGTAATTAAATTAAAAAAACAAAAAAAGAAAAAGAAAAAAAAGCGAAATATTCGGTCTAAAAAGTCGTAAATTCCCCAACACCCAACGGATCAGATTCCTCCCCAGGAGAGATCTGGACCGTCGATCCGGACAAGGATCGAAATGCTTCTTCCTTTATAAACCCCAGCGGTCTCCTCCCCTCCTCTCCAAGCTTTTTTCTTCAACGAATTTCTGAAAGAGAGAGAGAGAGGAGAGAGAAAATGTCGGATGAGGAGCACCATTTCGAGTCGAAGGCGGATGCGGGTGCGTCGAAGACCTACCCGCAGCAAGCGGGTACGATCCGAAAGAACGGGTACATCGTCATCAAGAACAGGCCCTGCAAGGTATTCATCCATCCATCTGGGGTTTTTCTTTATTAAATTCTATTTTTTTTAAATTTATTCATAGTGTTTAAAGTTATGTCTGTGATGGTATTTATATCTCTAGTTTGTTAGATTGAGCTGTTGTTGTTGTTGTTGTTGGATTAAGTGAATCGGTAACCCTAAATCTGACGTCTTTACCGGAGCAAAACCCTAATTCTTTTTTGGGAAATGTGTTAATGGATCGATAACCAGCAGTTATGTACTTTTTCAAGTGTTGCCCTTTTTTGTGCAATCTCAGACGTTGACTTTTCTTTTTGGGCATTTTATTGATTTTTTGCATTTTTTTATACGTTTTCCCGTGTTTACCCTAAAATCTTGATAGATCACTGAGCAAAACCCTAGTTCTGCTGGTACGATGGGAACCAGCAAATTTTATTTAGGAATGGATCAATACTCGATGTTTATACTGGTGGCCGTCTTCAATTGGTGCCCTTTTTGCGTATCTCAGACGTTGACAGTTGTTTCTTGTGCATCTCGGATTTTTATTGATTTCTCTGCATATTTTCTGCTTTTTTGGTTTGAGGTTCTTGATGCTATTTTCCTTTTTTATTTTGTTGAGTTGATTTGTTGCTCTTAGCTAAATTGATTTGATAACCCTAAATCTGATGTATAATTGGAGCAAAACCCTAATTTTTATTAAAAATATTATGAATGGATCAGCATTCAATTGTTAGCACTTAGCATGTGTCTGCATTTTTTACATTGATGTCCATTTTAAAGTGTTGCCTTTTTCAGGTATCTGATATGTTAAGTCTTGTTGTTCTTGTATGTCCACTTTTTATTGATTGTCAGCATATTTTTACAGTTTTTGAAGTGAGATTCATAATGTGATTTATATTTTTACGCTGAGCTGTTGTTGGCGGCTAATGTGATTTGATAAAATCATACAAGTGATATATCACTGGAGCAGAATCCCGGTTTTACTAGAGTAAGGACCCCTGAATGTTATATATGAATGAATCCATAGTCAATAGTATCTCCCTTTTGTGTATCCAAGTGTCTTCTTTTCTTTTGAATCAAGAGGTCGTTAACTTAGTGCAATTGATCAACATTCTTTCATCACATTCTATGCTTCGCTTGGCATCTCTTGCTGCATAAATATGGTTTCCATGATATGTAACATTGGAGGAAGCTAAGGTAATTTTGTGAGAGTTCTGCATTTTCTTGTCTTTTCACAAAGTGCTGCTGTTTTTTCAGTTATCTAGGTACTTCACGGGGTGCATAAGAGATAAAGTGTTCTTACAATTTTCTGTTGTGCATAAGATAAAGCTTTTTTTTTTTCTGTTAACAGGAAGAACAATATAACTGTGAAATGCAATTGAAAATGAACATAAACATGATTTAAACATACAATAAGAGTGAAATGTTATGCGAGATAAATTCCCTTGCGAGATGAAAAATAAAAAAGAAAATATCAGTACAGCCTAAAGTGTACTACGACACATTGCATGTAAAAGAAATTAAAATCCAAGATCAAATTTGCTGAGCTAAATCAAGGGGGGAAAAGAGATCACTAACCAGATTATTTATTTGCAATAAAATTTTCAAATTTTAAAATCTTAGGCGAGATCACAATTCCCTTCCGAGATCAAAATTAAAATATAAAAGATCAATAAAACCATACATGTACTGAAGCAGAATGCATGTAAAAGAAATTGCAATCCAAGATCATAATTTGTTTGCTAAAGCAAGGTAAAAAATAGAGATCAATAACCTTATTATTTCACATTGATTTGGAAGGGTTTTTGCCTCTCTACGGGAGGCGGTTGCAGGAGAGAAAGAACTCTAAGTTAACCTAGACTACTGCCCCAATTTGCTTACCTCGAAAATGAAAAAAAAATCAATTAGTTTATGCATGATTTTAGCTTTTAGAAAATAACTTATAAACATATATATGATTTTCTATTTGTAAAGTGTATTTATGAATTTGAATACAGTATACTAAGTAACAGGTACACCAAAACAAATTAAATTGTATACATAAAAACAAATTGGGATAAATGGTATTCATAAATTGTAATTAGTAAACTAATGAAAAAAATATTACTATTTAAATAACTTCAAAATTTTAATTACTATATTAACATATAATAATAAAAGAGTAAACAAATATTACTAACCTTATAAATTTAATATTCCACACATAGTAATATAACTTGGTTTTGAAGCTATTAAAAATGCATAAAAAATAAAGAAAAATGAACACGGAAAATAATCATTTAGAATATTATATTATAAGTGCAAATTCTTTAAATATAAATTACATACATAATAAATAGATCAATATATAAATTTATATGTGTGAGTACAAATTGTACACACTAACATTAGGACACGAAACGTAAAGGATATAGGGTAAACATATAGGGGAAAAAATTCTGGAATAAATCAGAAATTCATAGCCCAAATATAAATTATATAAATAATAAACAGAAATATTAATATATAAATTTATGTGTGAGTACAAACTGTACACACTAACATTAGGACGTGAAAAGTGCAGGATATGGGGGAAACCTATGGGGGAAATCATCTGGAATAAATGAGAAATTCATAGCCCAATGCTTGGCACTGGCTAAAAGACTAGTTGGACTAAAATTCAAAAAGGTCTTACTTTGGATCCTATACTGTTCTACTCATCCATTTACAATCTTAATGCCATTTCAATATATATACATTAACCATTTCTTATTCCTGGCCTTGAGTCAATAAATTTGTATGCAACTGAATACCTTTGCTGCTTGTTTATTGTAAAGAGAAAGAATCTTCTTTTTGGAGAACTTAATTTGGTTATTCTTGCCTTGTTACATTCAATTTTGATGCTTTTAGGCATGCACACGCTTTAAACCCTTTTATTCATGTGGGGAAAAAAATCTGCCAAATTTTTGCTACATGTTTATCCGGAATTTCCTCAATAGAAACATTTGTGATTTAATAGACCATTATGGTTGTTGTTCAGCATTGGACCCATCGAACCAATCTATTATAAAATCTAAATTTTCCAGGGTAAGTCTGTTTCTAAGGTAAGAAGCCGGGTCAGTGTAACAGTACTAGGCATGTAAACTGCCTTCCTTGTCTTCTGGGATTGCCAGTTAGCTAATTGTCTGTACTCTGTATCCAAACTGATACAGAGTGCGTGACTTGACATCTCTTCCATGGGAGAGAAGCTCCAGTTATCATCCGCATATTAAGAAGAATAGTCATTCATTATGTTTGTGGATTTGTGTATTTTTACGTGAGGGGTAATCTTGAAAAGTACACCGGCATATCTCTTGTATGCTTATGTACTATTATGGTTTGCAGAGATGTTTAGTGGCTACAGGTTGTTGAGGTTTCAACCTCTAAAACTGGGAAGCATGGTCATGCTAAGTGTCACTTTGTGGCAATAGACATATTCACTGCTAAGAAGCTTGAGGATATTGTGCCATCCTCCCATAACTGTGATGTATGTATTCTTCGGGGTCCTTTTTTCAGAACATGACCAGGTTATATACTAATTTTATAACTGGTTGAATTCATTATTTGTCAAACTTGCAGGTTCCTCATGTTAATCGTACTGACTATCAGCTCATTGATATATCTGAAGACGGCTTTGTGCGTATACACTTTATTATAACATTGGACTTTATGCTCGGACCTGCTATTCCAAATTACACAGTTGATCATAATGTTGATGCTTGCAGGTGAGCCTGTTGACTGAGAATGGAAATACCAAGGATGACCTGAAGCTTCCCACTGATGAAAATCTGCTTACCCAGGTGAGTATTTTCCGTTCTTCTCTGCATGATTCTGAGTTAGATTAGTGAATTTATGTTGAACAAATATGATTAGTGATTTTTATAAGACTGGGCCATTTTAATTTCTATTTAGGAAATGAGAATGTATTGCTTTTGAACCTTAGCCATTAGAAAGGATGGGCATCATCAATGTATTAGCAATCATGATTAAGACTGTAGAATTTAAATGCATGAAAAAGGACAAGTCCTCAAAGTACAGATGAAACTAACCAGATGTGGTCTTTAGAAATTCTTTAAGGATGTCTCTTTTATTCCCTATTTTAGAAGCCAAGCAGAGTCCAGTAGCTCTGAACTACAAAGTAAAACTATAAAAAATCTGAAAAAAAAAACGCAGCACTGCTGCAAGCATTATGATTATCAGACATGCATACAACATGATAAGACTGAGTTTCTGATGTGGTTGTTTACATGCTTTAAAGTGCTAAATACCACTAGTACAATTCAGTAATAATTTCACTTAGGCTGAAAGCATTATGGTTAGCAGTTACCTATGTAGCATGCTCAATTTATTCTTTTTTTTTAATTTGTTTATCACACAGACCAAGATGTGCTAACTATTCAGGGACAAAAGATATGGTCAAATTGGTCCATGTCTATGTATTTGAAGTGCACCGGTCCATCATGATTTGGTATTTCTCTATGAAAATTAAGACAAATAATCTTAGTAAACAGTCATCTGTTTCTGACAGGGCTGATCATCTTAACCTGATTCAACTTTAACATTAAAAACTGATATTTAAGGTTCATTGTTTGGGCCAGTCTTGGCAGTTAAGCTAGTCAACATTAAAAAACTGATAATTTAAGGTTCATAGTTTGGGCCCGTTTTGGCAATAGCCTCCTAAGAACCCTTTCACACCAGCTTTTGAGTTTCTCAAAACCGAGTATCTACTGGGCTTCATTTGATGCTCTCACCTTTCTGTCATCATGAAAGACGCACATGTTTTTCTCTCTCTATTTTCCACTGAATTTTCAATTTTAGCTTCAATAGTAATGTACTTTTATGCAGCAATGGGGGCAATTTTGTCTGGCATTAGAAATTTTCTTAAAAATATATTTTTTAACTGCTTCCTGATTATCATATCATCTTCTCTTTTGGTTTTCTTGGAATGCAGATTAAAGATGGGTTTGCTGAGGGCAAGGACCTTGTGGTGAGTGTCATGTCTGCTATGGGAGAAGAGCAGATTTGTGCTCTCAAGGACATTGGCCCCAAGTAGTGCTTTCTCATATATCTATCTATCGAACGATTCATTCTTGTAGGGGTGAATGTCGCTAAAAATATTTAAGCAATATTTTTTAGATATGGGACCTTGTCTATGTTGATTCTTACGTCAGTTTGTCCAAAATGGGAGGGAGAGTTTATACTGGAGACTGTAAACTCTTGGTATCAGTTCACCCTTGAGGCTTATGTGTACTGCTTACTACCCTTTTCCCGTACCTACTTTCTCTATGAATTTGCAAATGCTATGTTATAAATAACCTTGGGTAAAGTTAAATGAGATTTAAGATTCTTATCCGTTTTAGTAATACCACTGGTGTTTCGAGCAGAGGCTTCCTGATGGAAGTGTTTCTTATGCCTCTCAGTTACCGGTACAACCTCATGTCCTGCTGCATTGTTTCCCAAAGCCTAAGTTTATAACATGCTAGTTGTGAATCTGTGTTGTCGGATCTCATTTTTATGTGAATCAAGGAATTTTATCTTTCTTGATACGGACTTGTGACCTATTATCAGAGTGTTTTGGTTTGAAATGTTTGGGTATCTCTAATGTCGATGATCGGTAATGGCCTATCAAAGTGTTTTGGTTTTGTTATGTTTGGGTATTTCTAATGTCGATGATCAGTATTCGTGTTCGCATACGTTAGCATGGATGCAGTTCTCAAAATGGGTGTTGGGAGTTATTCCATTATTCTTACAAATACTTTGGCACTTAGCACGTTCTATCAAGCGCATTATGGTGTTGTTTTTGGATTTGAGTGTGAATAAAACCATGGATTGTTTTCTTTAGAAGGAATTACATGGCATCTAGAATAATTGAGTACATATATAGTTTGGACCGTTACATGAGTCCGAAAACGAGGTATCTACAGGCATACTAAGCTAGACTATGGGTACGCATGTTTCCCGTTCGACGAACACGACAAACAAGGGATTTGTTGAACATTTTGAACAATGTCCAACAGTCACCAAGAAAGCTTCTATGAGATGAAGGCCAATCCGAGACAATCTTATTGAAGAAAAATGTCCATCCAACCATAAGAAAGGACTATGTGGAGGCTCCAATGACAATCGCAGGGGTTCCGAAGGCAGTACCGGAGTAAATATGGTGACCAAGGTGGTCTCCGGCAATGACTCCCCAAGCCGAACCGTCAAACAGAGCGGCCGCGTCGACGTTAATCTTCACGGTATTTTCCATGCCCGTGAATGTGAGTTGTTGTGTCCGGTGAATTCACATGCAAGCGGTATGAACTATTTTCTTGCAGCCTCTCGTATTGGCTTTTGGGAATTTCACGATGGTTTCTACGCAACTTCCCAAAGTGGTCATGTACTCACGTGCCACTAAATTCTCAAAATACTCATGTTTCTTATTCTGTCTTTTGATTTCCTCAGCAAATTTCATTAAGGGGCTGTTTGGTTCCATGTTTTTGAGGGAAAAACTCTATTGAAAGCCTGTCAAAAGTGTTACTTTTTGGCAGGTTTTCAAGCAAAATCGTCTCTTTTAGAAAAGATGCGATTTTGCTTGAAAACTTGCCAAAAAGTGACACTTCGGCAGGCTTTCAAGAGAAAAAATTTCTAACTAAACGGGCCCTAACTCGTCCAATGTAGTCGGAATGCTTGATTAGAAATAAGTTAGAGCAAACAATGCATTTCGTCATCGTAGGTTCACGACTCCTGATATCGGAGTGCTCTATAATCTGGGCAAACTTACAGCTACTCCATTTTTAATCCATTTTATTATTATTGCAACAACACTGATCTAAATATTTATATTGAATTTTTTATATAGTTGTAGCATTGTGGAGTTCCAACTTTAGAGCCTGTCATGTGTATTTTCTTCAAACATGAAAATGTATGGATAAAGTCTGAATTTCTTATGCAGATATTTCCTCGGACGCGGATATCATTCTCCTAGCACTCAATAAGATATTGAGCGTCTTCTGTATAGGATAAAGTCTTTATTTTTTTATTTGGAAAATGGTACAGGCACACTCCTAGGCACACCTTGTGTCACACCCCCTCTCTCAGCTACAGTGCACGGGACCCACACATGGGATTTTTTAATCCTATGTATGGGCCCGTATACTGTAGCTGAGAGAGGGGGTGTGGCACAAGGTGTGACTGGGGATGTGACTGTGGTGCCACCCTTTTTATTTTCTATACATATATTTCCTCGGATACTGATATATTTTTTCCTACCAAGCAAGCAACCGTGTGTTTCGGGTCCCACCAGCTTGGGTCCACACGGCTAAGCGCGCACGACACGAGTCACACTGCCGTCAATTGAGTCGTGGTCGACGCAAATCAAACGCCCCCTTCAAATTAACGCCACGCCGTCCTCATCAATTGCCTCAGTTCCGCTGAAAAATCGAAAGGGAAAGCCCCCATCCATCGCCATGGCGTCGTCGGCGGAGGAGCTCTCAAAGGAGTTGAGCCTGGGTTCAGTGAGAGATTCCCTGATCAGGCAAGAAGACTCCATCGTCTTCGCCCTCATCGAGAGGTCCAGATTCCCCTTCAACCCTAAGGCCTACCGGCGCTCTGAGGATTGCGGGGGCGTCTCTCCCGCCAAGCTCTTCGTCAGGGAGGCCGAGGCCGCTCACGCCAAGGTCAGATTTTGATCGCCTCTTCTGCTGCTTTCGGGTTCCATCCCAAATGGGCCTCGATCGGTTTAGCTTTTGGGGTTTTTGTTTACAAACCCAAGGTTTTTTAACATAGCATCGTAATCCAAATATAGAAACTTACACATCATATGACAACTGAAAAATAAATTGAGTTTATAAAAATGAATTCAGGTTTGAGGATGATTTTAGAAGTGGATGGGTTTGAAAGTAATTCAGCTTAGAACTTTGGATTTAGATATAAACCCACAAAAAAAACAAGCTTTGCTCAAATGGTTTGTTGTTATTTATTTATTTATTTATTTATTTGGTGTATTTTTTTCCACTAGTGACATGAGCTCTGATCCTTTCTGATGTTAAACGCCGTAACAAATTTTTTTTTGCACTTGTTCTTTTAATGCCACCAACCACACGATTTATTAAACAACTGAATATGTATATTTATCTTTGAGAACTGTAAATTTTGACCTATGCAAGCATATTATGTGCTGGCTAATTGGTCATTACATCTTTTTCGTAATTTGCTTTTCTTCCTGGTCTTTGCTCTCTTAAGCTGCATGCGTCGAAGTGGAAGAACTAAGAATTTTTGAGAAGTTACCCAAAAAAAAGCCAGGGATTTATTAATTATTGGAAGAGCATGAATAAGTTATAAAACTTATCATGGTACAAAATACTGTTATGTTCTGACTTCTTAGGAATATTACATCGATTATTTGTAGATTCCTTTAAAATTTTATTTACATTGTTTGTTTCAAAACATGCCAAGGAGGACGTAACTTCTCTATGTAACAATGAGTATTATTCATCAAATAAGAGAGAAAATAACTGTAACTCATGGACAATCGTCTAAGTTTGTTGTTACACATAATTTGCAGGTTGGAAGGTATCAGAATCCCGAAGAGAATCCCTTCTTCCCTGATGATCTACCTTCACCGATGCTTCCTCCTTATGACTACCCACAGGTCATCGTTTCTCGATAATCAGAATCAAATCTCCAATTTGAGGAAATTTTCTTTTTAGATAGAACTTGAGGATGTTTTTAATCTTTACCTGCATATGTGTCATGCTTTATTTCAATTGCAGATATTTCATCCAGCATCTGCATCTGTTTGCGTCAACAAGCACATATGGGATATGTACTTCAATGAATTCCTTCCTCTATTTGCTTGCAAGGGTGACGATGGTAACTATGCGGCAACAGTTGCAGCCGACCTTGTCTGCTTGCAGGTAAGAAGGGTTAACATTCAATATTCATTATTATTATTCCCCCTATATTTGTGTCCTTGGTCCCAAATCTTGTTTGCTATGCAACTAAGAATGGTTAAGATGTTAATTATGGTTTCTTGTACCTCTGTTGCTTGCAAGTGATTATTATTATTTCCTCTATAGCCTATGCCTAGTTCTAAATTCTTACCTTCAAAAAATAAGAAGGGAATTATTGAGAGGCAACGCAAGCTTAATGCAAGAACAAAAGCTAAATAGGACCTTCACAAAAAGTTTCATTTAATTTCAAGCACAATTAGTAAGTCTCAAGAGCCGAACTTAGATGGACATAATTATTTATAAAGCATTCCCTTTGTCCAGGCACTATCGAGAAGAATCCATTATGGGAAACATGTAGCAGAGGTGAAGTTCAGAGAAGCTCCAGAAGCTTATAGCCCTCTCATCCGTGCTCGGGTAACCCCTATCGTATCTATCTCATTGCATCTTTATTCATCTTAGAGAGCTCATTTTATTCTAAATAATATGGGGATACTATGTTGTGTTATATGCAGGATACCAATGGCTTGATGAAATTATTGACATTTGAAAAGGTTGAAGAGATGGTGAAGAAAAGGGTAGCGAAGAAGGCAAAGGTGTTCGGGCAGAATGTTCATTTAGAGGACAAGGCTGACGGTGATGAAGGAAAATGTAAGATTGATCCTTCACTCGTGTCTCGCCTTTATGCAGACTGGGTGATGCCTCTAACCAAGCATGTTGAAGTTGAATATCTTCTTCGTCGTCTTGATTGATATTTGAAATAGAATTTTGTGGCTCGGATGGTTGTTTTGGAGTAGAAAAAGCTATCTAAGTGACTACCTCGTGTACCATCGGGTACCTGTTACCGGTAGTAAAAGGGTGGTTTCTTCTGGCTGCAAAACATAATCAATAATAGAGTTGCCACTGAGAGAATGTTGTAATGAACCTCTGAAGGAATTTGAAATTATGATGTTTTTTTCTTCAATTTTTTTAGAAAGTTTGATGCATCGATTATGTCTGGAACCTATAGGTTATAATCACAAAAGTTGTCTCTTTGCAGTAAGACCGTACAGCATGAAATGGGTTATTTGAAAGATACATATGCCTCCCAAAAAAGCATACTCATTAAAAAAAAAGGATTCCTGCCTGAAATAATTCTAGAGATGCTCTAAGATTGTACATGCATGTCATGCACAGAAAACTAAACATATTGGTCAGCTACGAGCAATATAGTTCCCAAGAAGAATGAGCTCTTAGCTAATATCACTGTGCTTTGACATAAACAAGATTAGCACCAACTTAATCTCTCTTCTATGAGAATTAACTGTGAAATTTGGCTGCCTTTTTAGGCTGGATATGCCACATGAGACGGCCTCCTCTAATTTAACAAGGGCATTCTACAACCTGCATACGATATCGAGCTATCTCGATTTCTACTACCAAGCAATAATTCTTACCTATATGATGAGACATACTTCAATATTACACAAAAATAAGGACAAAAATCACACAAGAAATAGAATTCATCAACTGCTCTTCATTCGCAAGTAGTAGTAAGATGTTTCTGTTGATTCACAATCAGAATCAGGTGAATGATCGCAATAAATGCCAGCTTCACCAACTGAATAATTACTACAAAATGTACTATCAAGAGTGGTCTCAGCAGGTTCTGATGCTAGGAGTGTTTGCTCACCGAGGTATGACCAACGATATAAGACCCAAATCCCCACACAGTAAGTATCAGAGATAGGATCTTGAAACCGCTCATTGGATCATGCAAGAAGATAACCGCCGCTACACTTGTAATAGGCACCCTCACCGCATTAAGAACGCCAGCAAAAACAGTAGAAGCCAGAAAAAGAACCGCAGTACCCCCCAGAACCCCCAGCTGAAAAGTAATCGCAGACCAAACCAACACCATAACGTAAGAAACCTCCCCGCCCTTAAAATTCTTCGCTTCAAGACTCATTCTCTTAAAATCTCCACTGATAACAGTCCCCACAGTGGTAAAAACAAACGCAAATAACGATACCACCACTTGCTGCTCTAACACAACATGAAAACTTCTCCTACCCAGGATCTTTATAAAAACTAGTTCAGAGAGCGCAAAGATAAGACCATGAAGAGCTGAGCCAAGAATATCCCATACGAATCCCAAATTGTACTGAGAATCACTGATACCTGGATATCTGTCAGATTGTGAATCGAGGCCTATAACGACAGTTGAAGCTGTGATAATGGCAATGGCATTAATTGAAGAAAGGTTCAGCTTGTTCTTAACGATGAAATAACCGAAAAGGGAAGAGAAAGCTAGAGAGGATGCAGCGAGGAGAGAGGCAGTGGATGCTGGAAGATAAGCATAAGCCCAAGCATACATAAGATTATCAGCAGCACTGAGGAAACCTAACAAAATGTACCAAAGAGATAGCTTTAGTGTGAGAGGTGTTGGAGAAATTTGAAGGAAGAAGTAGAGAGGGATCAGGAAGAGTAAAGTTAAAGGCCAGCCGGCAACCGATACTAAAGAAATTATCCATTTGCTGTTGCCGCCATTGGAGTAGTAGACACGAGAGAGGATGCTCGAAGCTGGAAAGGCTGTGAGCATAGAAGTGCTGCTTAGAGTTAACAGGACCCAGAAAGAGAGAGGATGGGTTTTGTATGTTTCTTGAGCGAGAGCCCTGAGTATGGATATTCTTTCTGGCAATGATAGACGGGGTTCTTGTGCTTCTCGTATTGTTCCTGTATTTGCAAAGAGACCATTTTGAGTATGAAAGAAGGGAAGAAAAGATTGAAAATGTAACTATCTATATCACGACCTTTATTAGAATAACATGAGCTTTATCTATATACTTTTATTTAAAGGAAGCCCTTTGGTTTGTGTGAGCTTCAACTTTAAAAATTCCAAAAATGCCCTCGTATGTTGAAAAAAAGATAATGTCCTCACATTTGAAAAAAATAAGTGGAGATGCCCTCAAGCCTGAAAAAATCTGCGGAAATAAGCTCAAACCTGGAGAACTCCATGCTCGTTCCCTAGACAATTCGACTACAACACTACGGATGCACGTATCACGTGCACCCGGAATACTAGTATTGATAAAAAGGACGTGTGACATCATGGTTCTTTAATCATATTTATATTCGTAGGCTCAGTTGTACAACACAAAGCCAATATTCAAGCCCTTTTGTGATTACAAAAGATCGGTGATATAATACATCAAGGAAATCCATTTTCGTAAACAATTGGCACTTTTTGACAGGATCTCGATCTTCTACATCTAAATGTGTGTCATAATACATAGAAGCTAGTTATAGAATTCTTTTTTGAGGGAAATGAACTAAATAGAACTTATGTAGTTGTTTGATAGCTCACTTGATGCAGGAAATGTAAATGTTTAATATCTGTCATACCTGAGCAGATATTCTATCCTATGTGTTCTGGTATTAAGGAAACATGCATGCCAATCTCGACAAAATATTTCAAAAATAGAACCTAGAAGAAGTTAAAAAAAAAGAACTTGTATTCCGTAGGCATTCAGAAAATACGTTACGCATCTCACAAGTTTACAATATGGAAAATACAATGTGGAAGTGTCAGGTTTCATGGTAAGAATCTGGTGAAGCTAAGACCTATTCAAGTCTGACTACAGAACATATTCATATTGCTTGTAGAGTCCAAATGCTTCTGCTTCTTTTTATAAATTCCTAGCATTCTTTTCTGCCATCAAAGGCATAAGTGATAATGAGCTTAGGATCTAACATAATCTGAAGTACGTAGTTGAAAACTTGAGATGGTGTTGTTCGTTTGATCTACTTTTACCAAGAAACCCTTTTTTTTTGTTCGACAGAAGATAATAAGAAGGTTTTCTACCATATTTTTGAGCATCTTTTATTTTTTTGGCACAAATCTTGATGCAAAGGACAATGAGAAATGGACTATATGGCAAGGTATGAAGGTATAGCATGTTTCGCTTTTGCATTCAGAGTGAAATGGACGCAAATAGTTGAAGAGTTCTCAAAAATTATTTGTTAAGAAAAAATGGACAGAATGTTTATAAATGTCTCTTTTGTGTTTTTTCTGTTTTTGACGTGCACATAAACCACAAACTTAGTACAGGGACGTTTGAATTATGATCTAGTTCAACATTCAAGTTCTAAGAGAATCTAACTACAATTCTCGAGGGAATTTTTGCTCGATAGCTTCATGATTGTGTTCCACGCACTTCCGAAACATAAAGCCGAACCCTTCAGCTATAAAATCTATTGCCGTGCATATATACACACCAAAAAGCACTGAAGTGAAATACCCGAGGGGAAGAAGATGTTAGTTTAAAAGCCAAACAATATTTGCACCAAGAAAACCATTCTTCTCGATATTTATGTAGATATGCCTCAAAGGCTTAAACCCGCGGCATCTGTATCACAATTCATACTTATTGCCAATCCTTCTCAAGTTTCTCCACTCCCAATTTTCTTTCTAGAGGCAATGCTCATGACTTACAACCTCCTCATATCAACTCTCATTGTATTCCTCCTTTGAAAATGGAGCATTAGCCCTAACAACAAGTCGAAAAGACCTCTTGGTTCATCGTGCAATTGTTCTAGGCCTGTATACAACTGGATGTATTTTTTTTAAGTAAAAATGTGTTCTTTAAACCCGCGACCTCTGTATCACAATTCATACTTATTGCCAATCCTTCTCAAGTTTCTCCACTCCCAATTTTCTTTCTAGAGGCAATGCTCATGACTTACAACCTCCTCATATCAACTCTCATTGTATTCCTCCTTTGAAAATGGAGCATTAGCCCTAACAACAAGTCGAAAAGACCTCTTGGTTCATCGTGCAATTGTTCTAGGCCTGTATACAACTGGATGTATTTTTTTTAAGTAAAAATGTGTTCTTTAAAGAAATTTATGCGGTTGCAAGAAGCACCTTTTTTTTTCTTTTTTGAATCAGAAAAAAAAAAACGGTGCTCGTTGCAACTCCTACTGTTTCTTCTTGTTTGACGGCGTCTACAAATAATTTGATAAAAAAAGAAAAATCAAATATCGACATTTGCTACCTATCAAATTGTTTACTTGCACGAATCACTTCCTCAGTTATCAAACAAACACCCAATTCATTAAAAAGTTTCTTTCTTCTTTTTTTTTTTAAAAAAAAGAAAAGATTTTGAGAGGAGATTGGAACCTGAAATTGAGTTCTCATGCTGCGGAGGATCAACATCCACTACAATCAGCTCGGACTTATCCATTCTCTTTGCAGATCACAATTGAGAGGTTATAACAAGACGTAGGGTTTTCATTCTGGGGAATCAGCCCACCAATTATATATGGAATTGAGAAGAAAAATGAAGAAATTGGACTGAAAATAGAAAGATACGGGAAGGGGGTAGTTTGTAATTTGGTTGGCATTCTTGTTGAAAAGAAGAAAAAAAAGATTAGGTTTTTATCAGGGATTCAGAAAAGAAGAATTTTTCAAAACCGACCCATTTCAATTTTTTTTTCTTAAAACCGACCCGTTTTTTTTTATTTATCAAAACCGACCCGATTTTGTAATTAGCAGCTTAATCACTATCCTAAACAGTCGGGGTTGGCAACCCCGACTATTTAGGAAGGTGTTAAACCCTAATTAGAAGCCTTAAACCCTAAAAATTAAGGTCCTAAATAGTCGGGGTTGCCAACCCCGACTGTTTAGGAAGGTGATTAAGCTGTTAATTACAAAATCGGGTCGGTTTTGATAAATAAAAAAAAAACGGGTCGGTTTTAAGAAAAAAAATTTGGAGTGGGTCTGTTTTGAAAAATTCTTCATTCAGAAAAAGCTGCTGAGGGGGCAACGAAGTCGTTAGCAATGACAAGGACGCGGTAGCTAGGAAGCGGGCCTTTAGTATATCGTGTCGCATATGCGAAAAGTTCACTGTGCGTAAATAAATTATTCTTTGCATGAACAAATTATTCTTGGAAGTAGAAAAATTAAAAAAAATGGCGTGGTAATATTATTTCATCATTTATTCAAGAAAAACATATTTTGTCACGTTGTCAATGAAATGTTCATAAATTAAAAAGTTTAGTTGATGTGCATCAAATGTGATGTGGATGTTTTTCTGCATTTACATGTTTGGAGGCATGTTCACAGAGTGAATGCATGAAGCATGCTTATTAAAGTTTGTTTTCAAACGTTTACTTTTTTTTTACTTTCATGCAAACGAAGGCATTCTAACTCGCATGAAAAGTGTACTTAGATGCTGAAAATGTTGAATTTGAGAGCCTTTGTATTGATTAATTAAGACACTGAACCAAGCGCGCTGGATACTTTATTGATGACACATGAATATTATTCTCGATTTCATGCTATATCTATTGGTGTTGTGTGAAGAGGATGCTCGACTCTTATGCTATCTGCACATGCAAGATACATGACAACTTATTTCTCAAACACTTGTACAAAAAAAATTATGGATGGTTATAACATAGATTGTGAAAGTCACCGTTATTTAATAGAGAAATAATTTCTTATTTTAAAAAAATATTATATTGTCCTTAAACTATGTATTAAACAACATCAAAAGTAATCATTTCAAGTTTAAAAATTAATTAGCTTAAGTTAGTATAATTTAATAATTTCTTGAAAATTTATCATTTTAATGGAATTATTTTCATTCAATATCAAATCACGGAATATTCAAATTATGCATTGAAAATAAAAAAGAATTGTGTATTTATAGGAAATATTTAGTATTTTCATTTTTGGCTACTATAAGAACAATGCCATGAGTTACCACCTCTTGATCACTTATAGTACCCCAAACATCCGACTGCATTTTCCAACTAAAATAAAAAATTACTTTTGAAATTACATTGTACATCCAAAATAGACCTAAGGTGTAAGAAAAATTACCAACTTGACCATTAGTTCAAGTGTTATATTTGGTTATTTATAAAATATCTTTTTGGGGAAGAATGATGGATTGTGTGGACGATTTAGAAGATACAATTATGGAGCATGTTAGTTTCTATTTGTCTACTCTGTGGAATTTGCCATATCTTATCCAAACTATTTGCATGGGCTTGAAGAAGATGTTCTTTCTTTGATCTTCCCCCAAAACAACTCCTTTTACTTTACATGGATCATATATAGAACGTATTTGGTATTTGGATATTCTTCGTGTTAATGACCTAGCGAATCATTCATGATTGGTCATGATACTTTCTAACTGGAATAGAAATGATCTATAAATTAATTTTCATTTTGAAATGCTCTTAATGTAGTGTTTGAATCAGTCAAACAAAATTCCTACACTTTTTTCCTAGTAAGTAAATTTTTTAAATGTATTTTAAATGTATACATGGGGAAAAAGTAGCATGCAATGAAAAATGCAAGCACGGTTTGGGTTACCTCATTAAAGTTGATTTGGAAGGAGGGAAAAGTCAATTGATTTGTAAGTTAATTTTATGAAACACAATTTTAGAAAACCCAAAAGATGCCCTCAAAGTGTGTGAGACATATGTAAAAAGGCTAAACACTCCTTTACCAGTTTAGCCTTAAAAGTGATGCTAGTGATAGTTTAGCCTAAAAAGTGACAAATACGATAACAAATAGACATTTGTGGTGCTAGAGACAATTTTTAAGTGAAAATTTAACTGGTTTTAGTAGATAGACCCCTCACTCTCTCCTATTTTCAGATTTATCTACTCAAGTTCTAAAATATACAAAAAAAATCTCCCCCCACCCCCACCCCACCCCACCCCCAACCCCCCAACCGCCCTAATCACCTCCTCCTCCTCACCATCTCCTCCATTATTTTCTCATCCAGATCCCCAACCTCCCATCCTCTCTCCCACTCTCTTTCTTCCTTTTTCTCCATATCTTCCCTATTACTTCCACCTTTTCATCTTTCTCCAAGCCCACCTCTTCTTAAATTCTTTCGCTTCCCTTTCTTCTTTGTTCTCTTTCTCATTCTTTCTCTCGCTCCCCTCTTCTTCATCCCTCCTAATACTTCGAGTAGAATGTTTGATGTTGAGTCTAAGAAAGAAAGATGAGGAGATTGAGTTTTTGATGATTGGAAGGTGAAAAGAGGATGGGTAGAGCAAGGAAGGAGATGGAGAGGGAGAGGGAGAGGGAGAGGGAGTGGGCGAGATGCAGAGAAGACTTGATGTTGGGTCTAAGAGAGAAAGAGGAGGATGTTAGATTTTTTTTAATGATTAAAGGGTGAAGAGAGAGTGGGCGAGCAAGGAAGGAGAGGGAGTGAGGGAGAGAAGGGGAGGTTGGCGATTGGGAGGGGAAGAGAATGAAGAAGATGGTGGAAAGGAGAATGTAAGAATGAATATGGAAAAGCATAGAGAAGGAGTGGAAGAGAAAAAGGAAAGTTGGGGATCAGATGAGAAGAGAATGGAGGAGATGATGGGAAGTAGGAAGGAAGAGATGGTGGGAAAGGAGGGGTTTTTTAATACACAATTTAGAATTTTTTTTTAAGGGTTAATCCGAAAAATATGAGAGAGTGGGGGTGTTAGTCTAAGATGTAGACTCAAAGTCGAGACGAAAACTGGAATCAAAACGACGAAGAGAACAAGCTGGAGATCCACGGTCGACCGCGAACGTGCACATGAGCTCAGGAGGAGCTGGATCCGAAGGCGGTCGACCGCGGCGGTCGACCGTGCCAACCCTTTAATCGATTTAAGTCACTATCGTTTGATACGGTCGACCGCAACGCAGTTTGACATTTTCCTAAACTGTTTTGGCTTCTGTTTCTACCGGGACTCTATATATACCTTAAATGTTTTTAGGGTTTATATAACACGAAAAAAGAGTTTTTTTTTTACTGCAGAAAGAGAGAGAATCTCAGAGAGATTAAACCCTAGTTTGAGAGCTTGTATTTCTTCTTCAATTAATAAAGAAATTGTGTGGTGTGGCTCCCGAGGACGTAGGCACGTTGCCGAACCTCGTTAAATCTGCGTGTTCGTATCCTTTACTAGTTTTGCAAGGTTAGATCTTTATTTATGGTGTTATTCCTACTTTCCTACTTTCAACACAAGGGCCGGAAGGGCAAGGGTTCGATTGATTGTTTCGAATCCCCAACAACTGGTATCAGAGCTTTGTTCATCAATTTGTGTGAAAGCCATGACAGAAGAAAACAAATCAAAGATCGAGAAGTTTGACGGTTCAGATTTTACCTACTGGAAGTCGCAGATGGAGGACTATCTGTACCAGAAGGACTTGTATCGCCCGTTGATGGGCAAGGAAAAGGGAAAGAAGAAGGAGGAGTCAGATGGTGATTGAGAGATACTGGATAGGAAGGTTCTAGGGCAAATCCGGTTGTCACTCGCCAAATTAGTAGCCCACAATATTTTGAAGGAGAAGACGACGGTGGGGCTTATGGAAGCGCTCGCAAAGATGTACGAGCAACCGTCGGTAGCAAACAAGGTGCATCTCGTCAAAACTCTTTTTAACCTCAAGATGGCAGAAGGACGGTCCTTCACGATGCAGCTCAGTGAGTTCAACACGATTGTTGATCAGCTTATCTCCGTGGACATCACGTTTGATGACGAAGTGCAAGCCCTATTGATTCTATCGCATTTGCCGGATAGTTGGGCAGGTTGTGTGACGACAATCAGCAATTCGGCGGGAAAGGAGAAGTTGAAGCTGAGTGAGGTTGTTAGCATGATTCTATCCGAGGAGGTTAGAAGAAAATCATCCGAATCAGAAGGTTCAGGTTCAGCTCTAAACTTCGAGCAGAGAGGCAGAAGCCAGAAGAAAGGAAACCAGAACAGGAATCGGTCGAAATCAGTGAAGAAGAGGTCGAATTTGAAGGTTAGGTCTATCAAAGGGAAGTGTTGGAACTGCGGCCAAGAGGGCCATATGTCTTCAGTCTGCAAAAGTCCAAAGAAGGATGCGGGTGAGCAGGAGGCTCATATCGTGCAGGATACCTTGATCCTTTCTATGGATAGCGATTCAGATTCTTGGGTCATCGATTCAGGAGCCTCTTTCCACGTCACTGCTAACAGGAAGCTATTTTCAGAATTATGTAGCAGGCAACTTTGGAAAAGTGTATTTGAGAAATAACGAGCCCTGTAATATTGTTGGAAAGGATGAAGTACAGATTCAGATGAAGGGCTCTAAGTGGACCTTGAAGAACGTGAGACACGTGCCGAAGCTAAAGAGGAATCTTGTTTTAGTGGGACAGCTTGGAGCAGAAGGCTATGTTTCAACATTCACAGGGGATTCGTGGAGAATCTTCAACGATACGATGATAGTTGCTCGAGGCAACAAGTTAGGAACTCTCTACCTCACCTTACATGCGAGTGACACCCTCGTAATTATAGCTGACAAAGAGAGTGCAGATCTGTGGCACAATAGGCTAGGGCACATGAGCGAAAAGGGAATGAAGATTTTGCATTCACAAGGAAA